TTTTTCTACTTTGAAGGTTTTTCAAAGTTTTTTTTTTGTTTTTTTTTTCTCAAGGCTTCAGGACCTCTAAAACCTCTTCCTGGGTATAAAAGATTGAATAGTTGTTATTAGGAACTAAAATCAGACTGTGGATACTTTTATACTCTCCCTGTGACTAAGGCAGATGTTTATTTTGAGAGTTTAAAGAGGGAAATTGTACATTAAGACTTTTTTGGGGGGGGTAAGTTTTTCTTCGAGTGCCTGAATATTAATGTTTCTTAGCTAATAATAATTATAATGCATCAGGCTGTTTTTAGTGTCACTTTACTAGGCTCACTTATAAATGTGAACAGCCCAATACTTTTGCATTATTTATTACATAAAACTCAGAACTAGGCATCAGTTATGTTACACGTTTGTGCAGTTATATATGTTCTTGGTTTGTGATCATTCAGGCCAATATTTCTTTTTCTTTTTTTCATCACTCAAGCATATCAACCCCCTCTTGATTTAAACGTATATTTGCCGTGTCTGTACATACTGATGACAGAAGCCATGTTGAACTTTAAGGAATGTAAATTTCATGTACAGTCGTCTTTCTTTTTTACTCAATGTTATCTAACAAGCTGCACAATGTTTAAAAAAAAAAAGACCTAAAAGTGATATCTTACCTTCAGTTTTGTGTTTTATGTTTACATGTCAGAAAAGGATGTTGAAATGATTTAGTATATCTTTATGTGGAACACTTCAGAGCGTTTGAACGTTTGATATAAAAAGAAAAGAAAAGCTGGCTGAATTGATAAAAACAACGCGTCTTTATTGTGTTTATTCTGGTCTGAGAGCCACTTTCATCTGTGTGGACAGGTTAAGCCGTGTAAATGAATGTAACAAATTCCCAGTGGACACAGTGCATAAAGAGGGTGTTCAAAATTGGGTTAGTTTGTATGTAAAATTAAATTACATACATTTTTACGTAAAATGAATGCAGTTCATGTCAGAATATGCAGTTTGGCAAGAAATTATTACTGCACCAGGAATGTGAAACAAGCTATCCAGCTTTGAGATCCGGTTGTCAAAAGGTGCCATACAGCCCAATAGATGCTTTACAGAGGGTGAAGAAATTGCCGTAATTGTTATTAATTAGTCCAGTTTTCCGCAGTAAAGTTTATGCAGTTGTTTTAACAGGTTGGCTCTGTCATCAAAAGGGGTGCAGGTGGTCCGTGAGCCATATACAAGCCCGATTTGTAGCCGGTGCCAAAAAGTGATTTCAAGTATGTGCCAAAAAAATAAAAATGCAGGAATTGAAACTGTTATAAAGGACTTGTTGGCCTATAATATGTCAAAAAATATTTCTCATGAATGGAATCCAGTCTTTGGGCCAGAATGAACATTCCTGTCACAAGATCGAAGCTGCAGTCAGTTTTTGACAAAGTGACTTTTATATACTCATTCATAAAATGTCTTTTTCAATGGAGATCTGGCCAAGAGGGCAACAGAAATGGTAACAAATATAACATAAGCATGTTTTATGTGACCAAACAAAGAAGACGGCTGATTATAGTGTAGGTGCAATGAGGAAAACAGATGCAAAACGGGTCATTTTAGATTTTATACATAACAGCTGCACACATCATGTTCACTACAGTCAATTTATCAATTCTTTTTTAATGTAAACATATTAGACATTAAAAACGGTTTAGAATATTTTCACGGAGTTTCAGTATAAAGCTTGATCACCAGGGGGCAGTATTGTGAACCCCTCACCTGTGCGACATTTGAAGTTGAAACCACAGGACGATCGAGCGGAGCTGTAATTACAACCTGACCTCTGTAATTGTGTTTGAGCGGCGGAGGAACTGAGTTAGACAACAACTGGAAGTTGAAATTTGGTAACAACCTGCATGAAGAGCAGCACTCTAGCATGTTAGATAATTGTATGTTGTTTGTTTGTTTTTTAGACTGCACGGTGCATGTTGCTAACGCACACTTTCCCAGCTGAACACGACACTGCAGTTTACTCTCTGGATGTGTAAAATGTGTAACAATGGATCACACCTCAGTGTCTGCAGGAGGCCTCGTTTATTGAGCACGTTTCCTCAGCGGACCGATCAATGGAAATGCTTGAAAGTGCGCTCAGGCTTGACGGCGTTTTAATGTCTGCAAGTCAGGTTTGAGTTATCAGCATCACATCACACCAATTTTTCTCTCCCCACCTCACAGAGCCACACCACTCCCCAGGAGGACACAGGAATTTCACACTAATCTAATATCCTCTTCCTGACATCTAGATTTCCTCACCCTGAGTCTGAGTGCTGGCACATTTTTTGTGCTTTATGGGCCAAAAGTTTATTTTGGGCCCTGGTTATTTTTACTCAGATACACAGTTGGATCATTAGAGCTGCCAGTTTGGAGTAGTTTGGGCTTTACTTTAACAAGCTTGAATTTTAAGAGTCATTATTATGCAGAAGGATGAGGAGAGCCCATCATTTGTAATTGTTTCAAACTGCTTGATTATACCAAGCATGCCTCATAAAATGGAATATCCCACTAAGCATAACAACAGATTTCCACATGGTGTCACTGCCGCACTGAGAGTTGTAGGGTTGTTTGGTTTCTTGAAAAAAATCATGCTCCATCACTGCAAACTAAATATTTAAAGATGTATGTTTACCTGGAATTCAAGTGTAGATTGGGTGAGAATTGGATGTAATCCACGATGTTAAACCCGTCTGACACAAGGCTACTTTATAGCTTGAATTGACTTTAACCTTTCTTTTTCGCGCTGATTGTTCCATTGTTAGACGTTGGTGAAATTTGGTGTCACGCTCCGACACTTGCTGCCGATGCTTTCACTGGCTTGTTGTGCTCGTGTCTCTGCATCAAACAGAAAGCATAGGGAAGCAGGCATCTCCGCAAAAACACCTCCTGACCCCTTATGAGGACACAAAGAGGTATGAATGTTTGCCACAAAAGCTGGTTTCTCTCCTCTCAACTCTGTTTTAATTTTTCTTATCTCCTCAAGACACACTCTACCAACAACGCAGGCCTCTCCTCTCTGCACTCCTCCCCGCCCCTGCCCCCAACCCCAGATCAGAGCCGCTGACCTCGCGACACACGCACACAAACACACACACGCTGCAACATATGGTACGGCCGGGACAAAACTCCACGCAGTAATTAGGGGGATGGTGCCGGACACTTGGCTCTGCTGCGGTGCAGGTTAAGCAGCGTGATACATCATCAACTCTCGCAAGCACCATGCAAGGGTTTACCCAAATTGACAGGTATGTGCTTTTAAAGACGCTGCAGAGGCTGATGAGAGAGGACGGCCAAAGCTGTGTTGTTATGTATCCTGTGCTCTCATTGTTCTTAAGGAGGTTGATTGTTTGTTGTGGTCTTCCAGCACACTGAGCATGTTTGGGGAGTACGCAGAGGTCCTCTGCAAATAAACACTCTGTCACACACACACTTGAGCACACACAACTGCCATTTTCACCTTTGCTTCTGAGGTTGTGTGCACTTTATCTCTCTCGTGCAGAAATTTCAGCGCTGGCGGGGGTGAGAGTGACACTTTAAATGAACGTGTTTGATGTCACGAGTGTCGCTTTCCATCAATAAATTAGTCAAAGAGAGGTGGAGAAATCCTGGGAGGCGAAAGTCTTGGTACAACATTGCATCAGCATCGGGTCTGCCACACTGCTGCTCGTGTGTGTGTCACACACCGTTATATACACGAGTATTTCGGGTATTTGAATCAGCAAGAAAAAATGTTTTTAACCACAGTCATGGCCCAGGGAGGGTTTTTGAATTCCAGCGTAAGAAACGCAGAGCTCTCCGCTTGGACGCCGCTGTCCGTCCGCCACTGCCTCAACCTCTCTCTGACAAGGAGAGGAGGAGGGAGGGGGGCCGAGAGAGAGAGAGAGGCCGGGCGAAGCTGTGTGTGCACGAGAGAGAGCGAGAGAGGGGAGGAGGAGAAAGAGGGGGTTGGCTTTAGTGTGATGTGAATGGAATAGAATCAGCGCGAGAGGAAGAAAGAGGGAGGAGGACAGCGCAAATCAACCTGCCCCTTGACTTTAACAACAGAATAGAGCCGGCAGACACAGAGATCGGGAAGTGTGCGTGCGTGTGCTGCTGTTTTATTTTATTTTTGGAGAGAGGAAGAGAACATCAGACAGGAGGAACTGAGGGAGGAGGAGGAGAAGGAGCCTCACCGTGGAGATAGATAGCAGAAAAATGCTGTCACGGGGAGAGAAGGGGAGGGAGTCGGCAGAGAGGAACAGGATGAAACAAGGCAGGGTTGAGCAGAACTGAAATGTGGAGGTAAGCCTTTTCTTTCCGTATTAAGATTTTACATTCACACTGCTGCCGCCCCACCACCACCACCGTCGCTAACACCCACCCTGTGTCCTCGTCCAGAAGAAGATAATGAATTCAGATTGATGGATCTGCACACCCTCTGTGTGCCACATACCTCTGTGTCGGCATGCATATTGCTCTGATAGACAAACCATCCGGCCCACCGACAATGTATGAGAGCAGCAGAGATGTAAAATGATGGGGTTGGCATCATGATATCTTGCAGCTTGTCCTCTGTCTTCCTCTCTGCCCTTTGTGCCATTGCCCCCCCCCCTTTTTTTTTTCTTTTATAAATGGATTTTATTCAGCCAGCTAAGGTCTGCTGTATCTACCATTTACACATTGCATTGTAGGTTTGAATCCAGCTCACAACCTTTGTCGCATTTCATCCCAGGCCTGCCCTCCTCCCCCTCCTCCTTCTCCTCCTCCTCCCCGTCTCCCAACACTAACCCCCTCCTCATCATCTATCCTGTGTCTCTCCATTGTGCGATCTGTTAACGAGGCCGGCTTGTCTCAAAAAACAGCACTGTGACATTGTCGGGGCGGCACTGCGAAACCTTCGCCGTTAAGCGCTCCTGGCCGCGAGGGCAAGGTGGAGGGAGGAAAGAGAGGGAGACAGAGAGACGGGGGGGGGAGGGGGGGTTGATGGAGGGACACTCGCGCAGAATGAAAGAGAGTCAGAAAGAAAGAAGATGCAGGAACAAAAAAAATAAAAAGCGGATCAGGATTTGCTCCAGATACATATTTTCAAAGACCGAAAAGCCGTCGGTCTGCAGTGGGCTGGGATTTGTGTGGATAAAGAGGATTGTGCACAGACAATGATGGAATGGAGAAGCACAACCGGGATTGGGGTGTTGTTTTCAAGGTGGCAGAGAAAATGAGGGATGCAGGAGTCAGTCCCCCCCCCAACCCCCCACCTTCACCACACACACATACCATCCCCATCCTCTCCTTGCCCTCCGCACCACCCTACCCACCGCACTCTCTAATTTAAGATGGGGCTGTGTGTTTATGAGACGCCAGGGTTTCAGGGGCTGGATGGGCTGCTGTAGGGAGAGAAAAGCAGGGATGAAGAGCCGATTGAGAGGGAAGACGAGCAGCAGCAGCAGCTTACATAAGCCAGTGCACTCAAAGGACGGGCCATTTAATTTACATTGAGCTGCCTGGCTGCTCATCCACTGTGGTGTTCACTGTGGTTCACATTGGCTTTTTCTTTTTTTTCAAATGATAAAATGCAGTTTGACCTGACTGGATGAAAAGGAAGGATGTGCGATGACCTTAAAGCGTTGTGTCGGTGTTCCCGAACAGGAGGGCGTTATATTTTTCTACAATCTCAACTTTCTTGCTGGACAGTTCAGTAGAGTGAAACCCCAGCCTTGCAGGTATTTATCGCAGCGAACGATTAGGATGTCTGCATGAAGTGCACCGGCATAATGGTGCTCACAGCGTGCAGCCTGCTCATACAACTCAGCTGCAGATGACTTTTTGTTCTGCTGCCATCCACTGCGTCGCACTTACGGCGTATCGAGGCAGCGCAGTCCTCTGTGTGGGCCATGCCCAAAGGATAAGTGAAAAAGGCCCCTGTCTATAACAAAAAAGAAATCTGAATGCGTGTGTGTATTTTAGAAGAGCAGTTGCGCGGAAGTAAAATGTCATTTCAGAGGATGGCAGCCCTAATGTAACTGGGATCCTTTGTGTCTCCTCGTGGTCTGTAGTTTGCTTTCTGCTTGGCCAAATAAAGCAAAATAAAGCACCTGCTGCGTTTACTGCCTCCTCTGCAGAAAGTGTGTTTTCTGATGTGAAACTCACTCTGTTGGTAAAGCAGTGGAGCAGTTAGCATCAGTCGCTTTTCATTAAGCAGATCACCACAAATAACAATAAGTCTACCTGCTGCAACTTTGGAGTTAGAGCCTTGTATGTGAGTGAAGGTGGAAGATCTTTTGAGAATTCATTTATTTTTGATACTAGGAAACAGTGCAGATGTATTTAACCCCCCCTCCCCCCCACACACACACACACGCATGCCATAAATTTTCTAGCACTTAAAAAAAAAAAAAATGTTACACCATGGCATTACTTTATGATTAATCAGCCCTCACATCTGCTGCAGTTGATTGGCTAATTATCTGACTCAGCTCCATTTCTGTATATGATGACATCCAGAATATGAGCACATTATGGAGTCTATTTTGGCCTGGGCCCACTTGCTAGTCTGCCTTTATGAAGTTTGTATATGTATTACATTGGTTATTTTACACATTTGATATAAATTCTCAAATGCTAAAAGCGACCTTTAACCTGACACTTTGTTCTTGGCCGCCCTCATATATAGAAAATGAAATATCCACAACCAAAAGCATACAGCGAGCAGGCAGCTTTCAGCAGCCCTGACAATGTGTGTGTGTTTTAATGCGGCACCCTATGTGTCCTCTCCCATGAGAGGCTTCCTCAGTGGGACTCATTCTGTATCTGGTTGAGTAGCAGGGGAGCAGAGTCGCGGGAGAGTCTTGAATCGATCGGCCCGTTTTCATTTCCTGAACCAAACAAGAACCAAGAGAGCTGGGCTCTGTACATGCGAGCGTCATGTGGATGCAGAGCTGTCAGCTTCTATTGTTCCTTGTTGGCGACGCCATAAATTTGTCCTGCTCTCCTTCAGCTGCTGTTTATACCAACCGTCTCCTCTGATAACAGAAACAGTATAGCCCATAGTTTCAGGTTTGCTTCATACCGTGTTCCTGCTCAGAATTAAACCACGATGCCTGAAGTGACTCTCTTGTCCACACAGCAAATAGATGACAGTCCTCACCTGACAGCATGAATGCTGCCAAAGTGTTACTTTGAATTCGCTCTGCACCACAAAGCACCCCCATTTGATCAAAGCAATTTTTATCTGGTTTTGCACTCAGTGAGAATCAGATAAACATATCACGAGGTTACCGGGCAGATTTTGTCCTGGTCTTACTCAGCATTATGTCACTCTGCTTGTTTTGGAGCCATTTTGCATGGCTACACCCCAGCAGGCTCCCTGTGGGTGCTCAGTTAGGAAGGGCTGTCGGAGGTGGAGACTTCCTCACATCTGATGGCAGGATGCCGGCAGCATTAGCCACAAGGTAGATCCTCTTAGCTCGTGCTCTCTGCTGTCACCTGCTTACTGCTGACCGGTGATCTCCTGCAAGATCAGGCCTCTTTGGGGTTTTTTTTTCCCTAATTTCTTTTTTTTGTCAAGGCTTTTGCCCTTCTCCACCTATTCAGCTGCACAAATAGAAAGCGGCATAATAAATGTTGGAGAATGACTCATGATTCACAGCGTCAGCTAAAGTAGGACTGCACAATTGAGATAAATCAGCATGACAAATATTCAGGGAGAGTTTTACCGTCTCGGGAGTCAATCCTCACGGGCTATTGTCTTTTTGAAAATAAGCATCGAAATACTTAACTATTAAAACGGTTCCCCCCTGTGATTTCTGCTGCACGGACTCGCATGTGCATGGGACAATATTGTTAGATTTTCATAAATTACACGAGGAAAATTTCGAGCACTTTCAAAACCCGTCAGAAAACCCATCAGCTTTTTGAGTGTGAAATCAAGGACAAACTGAGAAATTGGCCCTTCGTGTACAAAAAGACATAACCGCTGGCGGTGAATCACGCTTTAGACCTTTTAAATAAACGATGTTGTAATTGTTCTGATGGGTATCATGTCTTCTGTGCAGAGAGAGGGAAACAGAGCTAGGCATGTCCAACAACGCGCCCCTGATGTAATAGTCCTAAAATATGTGGAAGCTGCTATCTTCATGAGACATATTTATGTAAGCATCTGCTGTTAACACAGCCCACATGAATACAATCCCACTTTTTACTCCGTGTTGTGAAATGCCCCCTTCCAGAAATATATATTCAAGCTCATTGTACCAAATCGCAAAGTACCTCTCTCAGTTATGTCATACATACATTAAACCATTAAGCGGTGCAGTGGCTCCTTCTCATTGTTCTCATTGCTATTACAGGAGAGAAGTGCACTCTGGGGTATTCAGAGCCACTGAAAGCAGACCAGGAGCAACCGTTCATGCTCGTGCCACGTCACTTTCATCGCCACATTCGGTCGATAGAGATCAAAAAAAGCAGAAAACATTTTTAGGCTCTGATAGGAGTTTAAAAATACCCTCATAAGGTTTCTATTTTGGGGATGATACTTGACGTATTAGAGATTGCCTCTGTGTTTGTTTCAGGCTGAAGAGGCTCTTTGGGCTGTCACAAATTTGAGAAGGAAGTTGCATTCTCAACCGTTTCATTTGCATGTTAAAGGCAAATAAAGAAGTAAAGAGCAGTTTGAACAGGTACCTTAGAGCTCCACATCGTCTCTCTGTGGGGCACAGCAGCGACCGCACACAGGAAACTGAGAGATGTGACCTTAGAGGCGCAGAGGAGAGGTTTTTTTTGTGCTTAGCTTCTGCCACATTTCCCCTCATTCTAGGTTAAAAAAAAAAGCAGTAAAAAAAGGAAAGAATTAGGGGAGAAAATACACTCTACATACTTTAGATTTAAGCAGATTCAGTCTGTGGCCCGGTGAATTACCAATCCCCATTACTGCACACTTCCCAGAATGCACAGCGTGCATTTTCATTCACAAGTGGAAAGCCACAGATGTACGGAACATGTTCCCTGTTTTGACTGTACCCTACGCACATAGCATCACATCAAAACCCTTCAGTAAACGATGCGCTGTTTGCGTCATCGTACTTAACATATTGGTGCATGAGCTACTCTTTGCTTCCCTTTTTTCTATCTAGGTCAGAAAGTGCCGTGACGCTGGTGCAAATAAAACAAGTGCCACCAGGCAGTAGTTTGGCTGCAAAGTGCAGCAAGGTAGCCGCAGTGTTCACATGTGCAAAATAATAGTTTGTCAGCAGGGTTTGCCTTCATATTTTCACACATATGTTGGTCTTCTTTGTAAGTAGCTGCATTAGCATCAGGGCAAAACTTTGCTTTAGAATATTTGCTCTAGAGGTGCTGGTTGAGGGGAATCCAGCACTGCACTACAGCTGCGACATTTACATATAATGATGCTCATAGCTGTGGATTTCTTACAATATTGAAATGTTTTAGCACAAAAGACAAATCGTATTATCCAGGGGGAGATGGAAACGACAACTTCCTTGTGTGTTTTTTTTTTTTTTTCAGTACTTTGGTCGAGCTTGATTTCCGTATCGAAGACGTTGCTACACAAGCAGGGAGAATGGCTTGATGTGAGGCTTTACAGATGCCCGCGCATCTGTGAGAGACATTAGTCTATTTCTCCAAATAATGATAGCAATTTGTGTCCTCTGAGCTCATAATGAGCGTAGATGGAACCAGTGTAGCTTGTAAGCGTGATGGCAGCCATTTAGACGTGGCCTTTCCTCACTCCTGTACCCCGAAGTCATAAGCAACACTTATTTAGAGTGAGTGAGGACGGCATTTGATTCGATTTGCTCCAGTAAACAAAGATGTTGAGCTTAAAACGTGTGATTAATTCAGGGCATCGGCATTGCAGCTATTTTATGTCTCTTTACAGCAGGGACAGTGAGGAAGCAGAGGATGTCGGAGTCTCTTCCTCTGGAAGTAGACAGTGTACAGTTACTCTTCAGCGTGCCTTTAAAGCAATATTGAGCAATCTCGTTTCCTCTGCCTCAGAGCTGGTTGCACAGATGACGGAGGGGTAACAGTGAACCGTTGAGCCTCAATATAATAGATACAGTCATGAAGCTGAGGGTCAGTTCCTTTCTCTGTCACACAAACCCAGGCACACAGAAACGGGGCATTTGCAGGGGGACAGCTGCTCTTCCTGTTTCTGTGTGGACAGCGTGCAACATCTATAAGGACACTGTTTTATAGAGTCAGCAGACGCACACAAAGACACACATGCTCTCAAAGTACCTCTCGCATCTGTGCCTTAAACCTCTCTGCCTTCGTCTCTCTCGTGGTGTGCCACAAGGTGTATTTTCAGATTTACAGGAAGTGGCAGTGCTCTGCCAGCGCGTAGAGTTGATGTCATGGCAAATAACATGTAAAACAATAGCATGAGTTAAGTATCTTTATTTAACTGTGGACAAACAGCACCACAGTTGTGATAGAAAGAAAATTTGTGCATGAGAGTGCGTGAGTTGTGCATTGCGCTGTTTAATGCAAGAGGAAGTTCCTGTAGGTTGTAATACTATAGAAAAGGCTTTTCGGAGCATACTTCCTCTTTGCATTTAGGCGGGCAATTAAAATAATGCAAAATGATCACCAAATGCAGTGATTTGTGAAACTTTCAGATTTGTACTTTGTGCTCTGACAGCCTCTTCTTCCATTTTAGCAGCTTGTTTTTCAGCTTACAAAAAGACGGCCAAAAAAGAACTGAAACTGGACGAGACACCACTGGAGTCACACGTTAGATGACCTTAACCATACTTGCTTACTGTAAGAGACGAGGCACGTGTACAGAGAGAGAAGTCGGGCGCAGTCTTAGATTTAAAAAATAAAAAAATCATAACAAATAAAGCTCCAGTGATTGCTGTGTGTGTGCGTGGATGGACAAGGGAGCAACCAAACAATGAATAATTAACATGGTAAACCCTCACCCCTTTTTACCCCGTCCTATTAATAATGTAATAGACTCATTTTCTGTCTTTCAGGGAGAACAGCTCTCCTTGAAGTATGAAATCTGTTAAATTGTGTTGAGTGGCCTCTCTATCTATAGAGTTTAGAGGAAATCTGTACCTCTATATATAGTCATAACCAACAGTGCAGTACAGCAGAGCTGATGCAAACACAAACGACACTTCACTCTTTTTACTTATTGGTCATTTTGCAGGGGAGTACATTTAAGTTCCCACTGAACTAAGTACACCCGACAGAACAATAAAGCAAGCAGACAGTCTTGATGTCATAGACTGTAGGTAAAAGATGGATGTAGTGACTATGACCTCATCTACTGATTTCATGAGCCTCAATTTCAGTATTCTGGCTGTGGTCATGTTGGTTTCTTACAGCAATATGTTGAAGAAAGAGTGATGAGCTGAGTTATCAGCTCACACTAGCAGGTTTGTTAAGCAAGCCACATACATAGGTTCTATGGGCACAACGCACAGACACTTGCACAGCAAGCCATAATATTGTTTTGTTAGCTAAATTAACATTTTTTAAAAAAGGCACCACCACTGCAACCAGAGACCCAAGTCATCTCTTGTACCTGGCAGTGAACTTGTTTGACTTTTATCTTGTCTCCCTCCTCTCACCCCCAGCTGGTTGCAGCCCCTCACTGAGCCTTGTTCAGCCAGAGGGTTTTTTTTCCTGTTAAAAGGGAGATTTTCCCTCCCACTGTCGCCGTGCTTGCTCACAGGGGCTTGTTTGATTGTTTTCTTTGTTTTTTCTCTATTGTGGGGTTTTAATCATACCCGACCTACGGTGGCCAGCTAGAGACAAAGCGTATACAAACTCAAAAACACAACGGAAGTGCTCCAGGACGCTAGGGGCAGTGTTGAGCTCGATTTGCAAAATAAACAGCAAGTTTGTTGCAAACACATGGACTTGGATACCTGCGGAAAACACCTGCAAGGATAGAACAACCGTGCTTTATAAGAAAAGTAATGTGCAAACTGTTGTTTGTTTGATTTGTTTTTAATTACTATCAACGTTTGGTTTATGGTGGAGTCAAATCTGACGTTAGCTAACAGTCAGTGTGCTTTGCTCAGAGAGAAGCTCAACACTGCCCCTAGCGTCCTGGAGCACTTCCGTTGTGTTTTGGAGTTTGCACATGCTTCGGAGTTTGTTCGTGCTTCGGAGTTTGTGCGTGTTTTGGAGTTTGTACGTGCTTTGTCTCTAGGGGCCACCGTACCCAACAGTTGATGTGATTTGACGCCATATAAATACAAGCGAACAGAATCGAATTGAATTTATTTCTACTGAAACTTTTAACATTTTAACAGGAAAGTCCATTGGAGTTTACTGGCTCGTTAAACCAGCCTTTAGCGTCCAGTTGCAGAACTGCATTTTTCATACTTTGTCACTCATGCTTCAAAATACCAGATGCAGTCATTGCTTTCTTGTTGAGCCGTGACACTTCGATTGTCATGAAGAAAATAATTGCCGACAACAACTCTGACTAACCACTCTCCTGTCAGCATCACCTTGAAGTTCTGCAAAAACATAATAAAAGCAAGACTAAAAACAATTCTTTCATTCCATTAGCGATGATGGATGTGTACTATCAAAGGCAGAACTGCACAGAAATTTTCTGACAGGCTCTGACAGGTCATACTTGTTGGCTTGAGTACCTGTGTCACTGCAAAATATTGCTCACAGTAATGGCAGATGTATTTCTTTTGAGACTCTTCAAAAACCTGCTGTTTTTCTTGTCACCTTGATAGCTATCCTCTTTGTTAAAATCGGTCCATTGAGCACCAGGTGCCAACAGGAATGGAGGCTTATGTGTCTTTGGGGACCAATAGCTGAGACGAGCATTTGCAAAACTGTTTGAATTAAAAGAGAAGAATAAAACACATCACAAAAGAACGAGAGTGCATCATCTACTTAGAAGCCTCTGGACTTGGCCCAGTTCACTGTTTGCAGTGTGGTAGTGGGTCCATGAGGAAGATTGAAGAAGCCAGAGCAAGTGTTGGGCATTAGAATGAACTCATTTTCTGAATCAGGTCCAGCCACATTAATACACATTTACTCTCTTGAAAGCACTGCAGCTGCTCCAGCTCGATGTCACATATTCGGAGGCAGAGCAGGAATGCAACCTGATCTCAAATGTAGCAGGACTGCGAACGATCAATAATGAGAGTGAGACTGAGCCTGGCTTTAAATTTCCCCAAATCAATCACTGTTAGGAGTTGATTTAGACCTTGTGGTTAAGAATCAGCAAGACAGCTTTTAACTATAAGGATAGACAGTGGTGTTAGAGGAGCTGTCCTGCAAAGCTGGACACTTTCTAATAGCTGCCTGAGTCAAACTGTGTGTGTCACTTTATGGTCACATGTCAAAACAGTGTCTTTTGAAAGACTTGCATGCATCTGTGGCGACAAGTGTGGTGTTTCACAACTTCAGCTTCGTCTTTGAAAGATGCCAAGCACAGAAAGAAGTTGCAGGTCGAAATGACCGCCACAACCTGACGTGATGGAGTTGATAAGCCTGCAGTAACTTTTGCCACTGATCAGATCTAATTGCTGCTAAGCTGTTAAGCTGATTGCTGCAGCTTCACCCAAAGGGAAACCAGATCAAATCTCTATCGTCTTGATCGGGAGGCTATCTTTTTTTTCACGGTCAAATGCTTGCAATGGCCGCGCCATCGGCGGTAATTACGATAAAAGCACATGAGCTGAAGGTTGAGTCACTTTAACAAAGTAAAAAAAAAAATGTGCTCATTCACTCTGCAGTGTGGCAGCCAGTCTCCAATAAGTGTGGTGTACAAACGATGACGACACACATCCTCTCGGAGTTCAAAAGTCACTCGTCTCTTCCTGTTTCACAGGACGTAGACTCGCATGAGCCGGTGCAAAATAAGTCAAGCGGCCGTGACTTCCCCAAAACTGTGCATGTTTAATTTGACTCTCCTCTGACTTCCGCGTGTGTCCTAACGTTGTACACAAGAGGCGCATTAACCTTGTCCTGGACTTAACACGGACGTGGTACTCACCTACTGTCATCAGTTAAGCCAGCCAAGCCCAGAGCAGTAATGGTCCTTCAAAGCCCATCTGGTGCACTATGCAAAGACAGATAATACTTAAAGATTTTCACCCGGTCAGGTATGTTTAAAGAATAATTCTCTTTGAAGCATGAATGCCTGATGAAAGTTACAAACTGAAGTATATGTTTCTTCTTTTTCTTAAAACAAAAAATCAGTTTCTCCCTTTAAATGTTTAAACTTCAGATATGACGAAGAGGTCGAGCCTCAGTGTTTGTGCCTCAGGTTTCCACTTCCCACTTGTAAGATGAGTGATGGACCGGGGCTCGCTTCTTTGTGATGCAAGTGAAGGCCTCAAACTCAGATTGAGATGAACACAGTTAAATGCTCCACTCTTCAGTACAACAGTTTCGCAGCATGAAAATTAGAATCCATACTAGTATGTGCAATAAAGCTAGAATGTGAAAGATAAGTTACGTTTTCAGAAGCTTATTTTATGACAGGAAGTCTGTTCACGTTCCCCTTTCGCTTAAAAGTTTCAGGTTTCAATTTTTGCGACGAAGTCAAGAGCCATATATTGTCATGGCTTCTGATGCGGGAAGCATTACTTGGCATTAAAATAAACTGTTTTAGCATGCGTAACACGGAGATCATTACCGTCCAGAGGCCGAGTTCTGAGACGCAGTATTAAACACTGCTGTCTGCATGTATTATTAAGTTTCTCAGGGATGGAGTCTGGCTCTTGCATCATGGGAGTATCTGCAGGAAAAAGCAGGCAGCAGCCTCCCAGTGATCTTAGCAGATGCAATGGAGCTTTAAAAAAAATATTGGAGAGCATGAGGTGCATGCCTGGGTTATACAACTGAATATATAACTAAATAGAAAAACAAAGAAACTGCAATCATTTTTATATATTATTTATATAGGACCAGTTCCAACCAGCAGTTTTGGATGATAGGCAGGAGAATGAAGCTGCTGTTTTCCCTAATTTGGGGTGACAGAGATCACGTGTGGGGGAAAGTCAGTTTAAATGGCAACGCAACCAGATCACGAAGGTGTAAATCATGACCAAATTACATTCTGTGCTCTTTATTGATGCCATTTAATTCAAACAGTTGAAGTGGTTTGCGCTAGCCAGCCCAGACAGTTACGGGTCAAGTTTCTGGTAATGTGGTGGTCGAACTGTGGCTTGGAGAGCATCAGGGGAGGTCAAGCATAGTTTCCAGCAACTCCTGCGTCATCTGACGTAGGCTAATCTGTGGATGTAGGCGCATTTGTGCATATTTGGAGTAGATAGCTGATGTGTCATGCTACATGCTATATCTTGAAAAGAAAGTTGAGCAGCATCTCCACGGACAGCGACTTGCTGTTTAACCTTATTGTGTTAGAATATGAACAACATCTTAATGATGGCATCAGCTTTAGCCTTTTTCTAGTAGCAACAGCATTGTTAGGATATTGGATCCTCTAGTGCTAATAGATTTTAAACCAGCGAGATACAGAATCATCACATGCACATGCACATTTACAATCAATGTACAATCAGCTGTACTGAAAGCTTTTGAGAAAAGAGCTTCCCGTTACTGTTTATTGTCTCAAGCCTAATATCCTAAGTTATTTTTTATTGCACCCTCAGTCAGTCCTGCTATTATGAGATGATCCACTTATGGTCATATTAGAGTTTGGTTTAAGCCAGACTGATATTTGCTCATAAAATTGCTCAGCTTGGTAGATCCTGGGAAAACATTAAGCTGGTTTTCAATGATTTGTGCCGTAGCAGTTTATGTGCATGTAGCAACAAAACCCCAAAAACATTAAAAATGCAAATAATGGCTTCCTAAATATATTAAACAGAAACTTGAGGGGGCTGGGACAAAAACACCAGTTCCTCTTTGCTTTGTACTTTTTCACAAGGTATATGACGCACTTCTCTGTCGTGGTAACACACAGGACAGTTTCTCTTCAGTGACTTCAGAGAGAATATGTATTTTTGACACCAATGTGGCTCTGTTGAAGATCTTGTTGAAGACGTTTTGTGTTCAAAGGTAAGAAAGGGACTGATTTGCTTTCAAACAGGAAAAAGAAGAAGAAAAATCGTGAGATTTTAAAATAGTGTTTTACGGGTTTGGAAAAATTGGGGGGAAAATGTAAACCTAGAAATTATTGGAAAAGTAACGCAGGTCAAGTTGATGAATACCCAGGTAACCGAGTGTGCATATCAGTTAAGAGCTGCTGGAAAAATAATTATATTGATATGTCTGAGGAGACTCACCTGCTCAATTAATGTTGATGCTTTTTGTCCGAACATCAGAACATCAGACTCCGTTTGGGATATAACGTCTGGCTTCACGTGGAACACATATAAGGCATGGCTTGAGAAAGACCAGGACGTGGACTCAGGATGGATGAATCATCCGCTGTGTAGTAAAACACTTAGCAAAGAATTTGAGAGGCAGCTAAAAGGGCCAAGCCACAGAAATAATGGCTCTACTCCATCTCCCGTGGTCAGTGCTACCCTTTCACCCAGTGTCAAACTAGAGACTGTTTTGGGTGCTGTGTCTATAAATTGCAGTTGCAGAGTTACTGTGGCTAATTATTCCTTTGACACATGTGAAGTCACCCCACTGCCTGGTGGTGGCTGAAACCCACAATGAATCTACTGCTTCTTCAGGATTTAGACTTTGATTAGAGTTAGTTTCAGGCTTGCTTCACTACATCCAGAGAGTCTGTCAAATAGACAGATTCATTACCCTTCTGGTATCTGGACTAATCATGGTTCCATGCATAGTCACCCCTAGAGGCTCATTCTGAACTGCTAAACACACCCATCATGCCTAGTAAGCACCCGGGGTCAGGACAGTGCTAGCAGGTGACACAACTTTTATTATCTCATTGCAACATGGCCTCTGAAGCTCGTTAATCATTATTTTAATTGACATAAATAAGATTTTTTTTTTAAAATTTAAGATGCACTGTATTGACATGGATTGTGCATCCATGCATGGCCAGTTGTTTTGGCAAATGTATGGAAAAGGCAGCCTTTTTTTTTTTTTGTAAAAGTGTATATCAGCAATGTTTGAAACATTGCTCTTTTGCATGAAAGAAACTCTGTACATTTCCCTCAGATGTAGAAAATACGCCCGTGTGAAGATGCGAATCAACCAAATCGGCCAAGTTCGGTGCCATTTTTTTTAAAGCTGCTTCCAGTTCAGTTCTGTCTGATTATGATAGCAAAACGTTGCAAAAGCAGAACACAGATGTCTGCTTATGATCAGTTTCAGGTACTCCAGGACAATGGGAACCTATGAGGAACTACAGTAATCATTTGGAGAAGCACCTATAAATATCCTAAAGATGAGCTTTGGGAACGCCCATTTAATATTTCTGGTTTCATGTAAAAAAAAATATGAGAACTAATTTGTGGTAAATGAGCTGTGACATGTATTTGGTACAGAGGTGCACCGCATATGTGTAAAGTAAGTTATTGTAATCCTAATAATCATTTAACAGCAATTTAACAAGGTCACCACTGCGCGCGTGTGTTCGTATTTATGGCAGATGTTAAGCAGCTGGCGCACTGTGGAAAACAGTCACACATTGTGATGTGTTTGCAGATTGAGTGCTACGGTAATATTTTGTAATGTTGTTAGATTTTGTCAAAGCTGGAGCATCGAGACAAATTGTCGGATGCACAGATGTGTTTTGTTGCGGTGCAAACTGTCGCTTTTGTAATCCTGCGGCCATCACTCTGATACACGTCTATGTATGCGACACCTACTGTATGTAATGTCTGTTACTAACTTTCATTCTTAAAAACTGAGAAATATGAATCCCATCAGTCACAAATATGTTTTGATTTTATGAAAGGAAGTCGCAGCATGACAGCGTCCACCTTGTTTTCCTCGTTGTAAATAAATAAAATAAATAAATAAATAAAATTTTATTTATATAGCTTTCTAGACAGAATCAGAAAGTGCTGCACATAAGATAACAAATAATAAAAGGGTAAAACAGACGATATAAAACAGGCAGAAATTGAACCAAAAACAGTTTTAAAAAGGTGAGTTTTGAGTTGTTTTTTAAAAACAACCACCGAGTTCTTAATGTATGAGGGAGAGAATTCCACAGTCTCGGGGCCACAGTGGCAAAAGCTCTGTCACCCGTAGTTCTCATCGTAGTCTGTTTTATAGCAAGTAAGCCCTGATCAGATGACGTCAGGGACCTGCTGAGGACATAGGGCTGTAGCAGATCGGAGATGTAGTGAGGTGCCAATCCATGCAAGGCTCTAAATGTCAAGACCAGGATCTTAAAATGTACTCAATTCAACAGGAAGCCAGTGTAGCTGAAATAGCAATGGTGTCACATGTGAATACTTGGAGGTTGTCTTGTTCTTATAGTTTACCATACATTATGAACATGAGCGTCACCAGTCGCGGGCTTGTTTGACAAAAGTGGAGCTATTTCGGTAAACAGGGTTGTTCTAAAGCTTCGGTGGACTACATGCCACATAGAGAGGGTGGCACCAGGCAGGTTGCTATGGAAACAAGGACTGATTCATGGTTTGAGGTCCCGAGAAGCTCAGGAACATGTGAATTTTTACAAAGGGCCGACTGATAAGTGTCCAAGTTCAACCAGCACTGTGTGTTGGTGGAGAGAAGGAGTGCTTCTGGTGGACCTCAGGCATTCAGATTGTTGTTGGAACAACATGAAAGCAATCTGCGATTTTTTTCTAAATCTTTTTTTTCCAAAAACAACCTGCTGCCAATAATCTACACCCCCACTCTGAGACGGTGGAGAGAATTGATTGCTCACACTTTTTCAAAGCATTGTGAAACATGCAGATGACGCTGCATGTAATGATTGCAGATAGGCATAGACGCAGATCATTTGTGCACACATAGGTGTTGAACATCTGAAAGTTTCCAGGAGGGAACATGAGCAGGTTTTTAATGTCAGAAGCTGCAGCACTCCACACACACAGAGGCAAGCAAAGCGGTTAACTGGTGCTCATTGTCAGATCAGGAGTCTCGCATGAAAGAGAGGAGTATGGGAGCTTACTGGGGGCCTAATTAAAACAATACTATAATACTAAAATACAGTGCAAGCAATATCCACCTTTCACAATTTCAAAACAGAAAGTAAAACAGCATTTAACAGTTCATTTACATAGATTGAATAAGCTCTGCGGTAGATGAAATTCAAATGGAGCAAAACCCCTTATGTAATGCAGCTACACTAAAACATCAGCAGGCGCATTTGATGTCAGTGTTTTTAAGTTCAAAATTAAAACATGAGGACAGCTCGTGGCTGTTGTTTTCCAAAGGAACAGTGCACTCAACAGAGAACGATATTGAGTGAACAGCACTTTTGAAAATTCAGGAATTGCATTTTAATTTTTCAGTATTAGATTAAGATCGTCGCGTTAATTAAGTCCGCTCTGGGCTTCCACGGGAAACCCCGACTCAATCAGAGGTGCTAACAATGAAAAGACTTTTGCCCCTAATTCAGTACTTCACCGTGCTTTCTCTTTCCCATTCCAGGCATGCAAAATAAGCGTCTTCACTCTAGTTCAGACAGATATGACAGTAATATTATATTTACACATAGCTACACATATTACTCATTCACACTGAGCCACAGCGTATCTGTAACACTGTTACAGATAGTAGCCAGCCGTAAGGATAAACATTTACGTACACGCAGAGCCTCGAGGTACCACGGAGAATGCTGAGGTCACGTCCTTGGCTTTGTTTCTACAAAGTTTGGGGATTAAATAACCTGAGGAGAAATTTACACTTAGAGTGTTTACAGATGGTGATTGCTTTTAGGCTGGATTAGAAACTTGAGGATATTCCAACTAAATATACTTAAGTTAATGCTGAAAACACAGCATGTTTGTCTGAAGTAGTCATCGAGAGGTGTGCACATAACGCAGATTCAATTTTTATCAGTAAGAAATCACAAAACAGCTTCTGAAAATCTATGGCAGCTTGTATTATTAGTGTATTATTAGTTTATAACACAGTTCAGATCAATGATAACATGTCTATAAAAGCATATTGTCACAATAATGGAAAAATAGGCACTGAAGGCAATGTTGAATGTGTTCCAATGAATGATTTGTTAGAATAAACAATAATAGAGAAGTCTAATAATCATTGTTTCCCCTTTTTCAAATCTAGACACAATCTCCTTTAGAGAGAACTTCCTGCTCACAGTGCTCATATCGATGATATAACCTGACCTTCACGTTCATTAGCATATCTTGACACGCGAGCAAATGAACAAATAAATTTGATCCTTATTCAACGTTTGCTTTTTTTTAAAAATGCATTTTTAGCGCCAACGTTTAAACTGCACGTTGATATTTTCTCTTTGGGTGAAAAAAATCAAGCGAACGTGAGCAGCAGCAAGGAGGGGAAACCAAGATTTCTTGTGACTTCCTCACCATTTGGCATATTTTTGTGTTGTGTGTGTTTGTGTGTACTTGTATTGCGCATGTTGTGGGGACCTAAAATAGTTTACACAATCACGCTGTGGGGACTCGACCCCTTTTTCGGGGACAAAATAAAACCTCTGGGGGGGCCGGGGTTAATGCAAGTAGCGGTTAGCGTTAGAGTTGGGAGAAGGAAATGAATGTAAGTCAGTGTGATGTGAATGTGTGTGCGCTCTGCACCGCTGCACCTGCTCTTTAGGCTGCAAGCTCGATAGAGGAGATGGGTGCTTTAAAAAAAACTAGACAGGAAGAAGCTTCATACCTTATTGAGAGCGACAAAAAGGTTTCAGCTTGAGTTGATTGACGTCAGTTTGGTCCAAAACAGGGTGCGAGCAACAAACGATGACACAAACAGGCTGATCTGTACCTAGGACAGAATCCACTTTGACGGTAAGTCGGCTTTGTTGAAACAAAAAAAAGATGAATTCTTTTAGGGCTTAAAAACAGGGAAGCACTCTGCTTCATTGTCGTTTTCTCAAACCCTCTTGACTTTCAATGACTCTCAAAATAGTGAAAGTAATATCTGTCGCAAAACACGGCATTTGCAGTTATTTAAAATGCTTTTTGTTGTCCATACTGACGTATTTGTTTCAATACTGGCGCGGGAGTGAACTACAAAACTGTTTGGTGGTGTGCGAAAGCACAGTGTCGGGGTGGAGGGGAGGTAAGAGACACGGCGTACACTTATTTCGCTTGTATGCTGGCACATTGTCAGTAAGCCAGGAAGGACCCTCCCCTGTGTTAATACTGTCTATTGTGAGCGTGTGCGGGGTGGATGTGGTGAGTATTAAGTTTGCTATGGAACTATTTAGGGAAACTTTGGAACGGAAAGTGTCTAAAGGAAAGAATAATAATGAGGGAAAACAGAAAACAGAGGTACAAGGCATTACTCAACAATAAAACACACGTCAGACCTGCTTACTGCCTTATTGTTGCAATTCAGTACTTGTTTATCAAATCTTTTTCTGGTGAACTGCTACGGGCTGAATATAAAGCTGTTGATTGAGATTATATCAGTGTGGGTAAAATGTGACGATGGGGTCCAAACTTATATTTTTCTTCCTCTTCTTTTCTGTACAGGTTGCCGGTGGATAAGACCGAAAGAGAGGCCGCAGGCACTGAAAGCGTGCACACGGAAGGACGCTGTGTTGATACATAAGGAGCCTCTCTTACTCAGAGGACACAGAGTCAGGCTCCAGTGATGATCCTCACATCCTTTACAGGAAGGAGCACCCCGCAACTGGAGTACCACCTAAACACACATCTGCACACCTGGATGGACCGCTGCAGAAAACAGGAGCACTTTTTCGCGTGTCCTCATCTTCCACACTTGGGAACGTATTGACAGAGTGCAGTGTCTCACACAGCATCTGTGAGAGCCTGAGAGTGGAGAAGAAGGTCAGCCTTCGTAAGTGGTGTGAATGAGGACTGAGTTTGCTGCTTTCGCTCAGTGTTCCCATTTCACACCAGCGCCATAGAGACCGGGACAACAATTTAACTGGGAGGGTGGGGTTAGCGGGAAGCCCTGGAGCAGAGTGGAGAAAATACCGCTGGACTGGAGTTGGTTTGTCAGGTGGACACCATGCAGTCAGACGACCTCTTCATTCGCAAGTTTCGCCGTCAGAATCAGCGGCCGCCTATCGCAGCAGTCAACTTTGACCCCAAGAGGGAAACGGGTGTAGTGGAGTGGCCGCCAAGAAGGGACGGCGATGGGGCCGAAGCGGACAGCCTCACCCCGAGCCGCGCCGGGTTGACCCTGCGGTCCATGGGCCGGGGGCACATCATGCAGAGAAGTAACAGCGATGTCACACTTGGGGACTTGGACTCCTCTGGGAAGGCGGGGGGGAAAACAGCGCGAGTGGTTGGTGAGAAGGTGGATGCTGGGGTTCAGGGAGACACAGGTGTGCTGTTACACAGGGAGTACGGCAGCCTGTCATCACTCGAGAGACAGACTCAAGCCCAGGAGCCAAGAGCAGACGACCAGGGACCCCTGAGTCCAAGTGCCCTCCGCTTCAAAGACCCTTTCCTGCTTTTAGGGCTGCAGGGACACCCTCCAGAACCCGATGGATACTTTCGAGGTGTTTGCACGGTGGATGGCCCAAAACCCGTTAAGCCACCAAAGCCTGAAGGTCTTAGCAAAAAGTCTAAACCCACGACCTCTCAGGTCCCTCAACCAGTTCCATATGACAACATCGGGGGCGGAGCCTGGGTGAGGAGCTTTGCTCACTATGACGTGCAGAGCATCCTGTTTGACCTAACCGAGGTAGCCACAAACAGAGACAGCATTGGACGGAAAAAGAATATCACCTCAGGGGCTTCAGCTGCCTCCCAGCCCCGTCCCCTCTCCCTGTCCACCCCATCCTCACCTGCGCAGGGCGGGGTTGGCAGCACAGGGAACGCAGAAGACAACGAACAGTCAATGATGCTAGATGAAGGTGATGGCAACGATAACGAGCTCCTCCTCAGCTGCCCCCACTTCCGCAACGAGACTGGAGGAGAGGAGCAGGCGGGCCTGGGTCGATCCCAGGGAAGGAAGGGACTCTGGTCTAGCCTTCGCATCCCCAACGATGCAGTTTCGGTCCTGGAAGAGCCCAGAGAGAGCAATGTGCAGCAGCAGGGCAAGAGCAACTACTTCATAGAGCATGCTGATCTGGGAGCCCATTACTATCGCAAGTATTTCTACATGAAAGGTACGTGTCACAGTGTCAAACGATTACAATCAATTACTTTTCAGCTGTTCCCTGTTAAGTCTAACACTCACCAAGATTTAGGAAGATTTTTCCCATCCTTTATAGGCCATGTGAAATTCATTCAGTCACTTTTTTATGCTTTTTATTTTAATTTAGCCTTTCCTTGTGAGTGTTTATTTATATGAGTGTTTACTGTATGTGTTGTGAGTAATAAAGGGTCAAGAGCCTTCAGTTTCCCTTCAGTGCTGTAGGTAGGAGTAATTGCACCTGAGTCACTTTATTTTCAGCAACTGTTGAGTTCGCCATCATATTGCCTTGATATGAAGAGGTAGAGTCTTCTGCTTAGAGAGGTGGTTTAAAGTAAATATTAGTCACTTTGAGATTGTTTTTTTAACAGATGAAATAGATGAAAATTAAAATGTAAAATAGAGTTATGGTTTTGAACCTCTTTCTTTTACATTTTACATTATGTTGCCATTTTTGGTCCTCCATATAAATCCCCCTCACCTCCCCTCTGTTATAATTTTTGTACAGGTCCTTATAAGCCTTATAGGTGCTCTGATAGTTGTTTGACCCACTGTGGGTCTTCCGGTCTCGTTCCTCTCAGTATTTATTTGTCTGTCCTGCCGTCGCAGAACATCAGAATTTTTTTGGAATTGACGAACGCCTCGGGCCGGTGGCCATCAGCTTCCGTCGAGAGGAGAAAGAAGGATCCAGCGGCGCTCAGAACAACTGTAGAATCATATTTCGCACCACAGAGGTAAAAGCAGCGCGCTTCTCCTGTCCTGTGTGTAAAATTGATTCGACCGGATGTGTTGAGTGTGAATCCCGTCCGCAGATGAAGACTCTGCGAGGTTCCATCCTGGAGGAGTCGGTGCCCTCTGCGGCTCGACACACGACCCCCAGAGGCTTGACTCCCAAGAGGCTGTTGGAGTTCATCATGCCTGAGCTGAACCAGCACTGCCTTCGCTTGGCCTCAAACTCCCCCAAGGTGCGGGACACCCTGCTCAAACTGGATGAACAGGGGGTGAGTAACGCGACACCGGTGATACTGAAGACTGCTGCATGTGTCGGGCAGAAAACTGTAAATTGTGTCAAACGGCATCAGATAGGGTTTGTGTATTTTTCTCCACTTTATGTTAAAAGCCTACAACTGCTGTCCAAGAGGTCATTTAACCCAGTTATTACATTTGCTTCTATTCCATTAGAACTGGAGCTGTAAGCTAATTGTTTTCAAGTTGATTATGTACTGCAGAAAGAGTAAAAAGCAAAAAGCTCTGACTTTATTGTTTTTCTCCTGTATTGTTTGACTTGGAGCCGTTGCTTTTTCTTCTGTATTTATCGCTAATATTATTGACTGAGTAAGATTCATTCAAATTTCAATTTGTTTTTAGTTAACACTTCATATTTTGTCGTGATTAAAAATTTTAACATTTGTTTGTCACACATCCTGAGCCCAAAACATTTAGTGTCCCAATTTGTTTGAAAAACACTCAAAAGAAACAAATTCTGAGATTTAAATAATGAAATCAAAAGGTACTAATAAATATAAAAATGTACCAAACATTTAATTAGTGAGATGCAAAATATTTTTTGCTGATTACCCAACATTGAAGTCGTTTTTTTAAAACCCATATTTCTTTATTTCTATTGACTTTTTTGACATTGCAGAACCTGCCAAATACTGAAGCTCCTTCATTATCCTGTAGGTGCTCTCTAGCCCACATCTGAAGTTATATATTCAATTTAATTCAATTTTATGTTATTTTATTTACATGTTGCCAAATCACAACAACACTTGTCCCCTCACGATGCTTTATACTGTAAGGGATAAGCATCGGCGTAACTTTGTGGGGGGTCTAAAATAAATAAATAAATCTGTGTAAATTCCACGATGACTAAACATGCAACTATTTTGCTGGTAATACCTGAAATGAATAAAGAAAATCAACAGCCTATTTATGCAAGATAATTCATAATTTTATTGGGTGGGGGGGTTATATTGGTTGGGTCTGATTATTGACAATGCTCAATAACTTTTGTGCCTCTCTATCTTCCAGCTGAATTTTCAGCGAAAGGTTGGGATAATGTACTGCCGGGCCGGGCAGAGCTCAGAGGAAGACATGTACAACAACGAGAGCTCCGGGCCGGCATTTGAGAAGTTTCTGGATCTGCTCGGGGAACGGGTGCGACTGAAGGGCTGGGAAAAATACCGAGCTCAGCTGGACAACAAGAGTGAGCTACAGACACTTCATTTACACCCACATCTATTGGCTACATCTCACCTTGTCGCAGTACGATTATCCGAAGGGCATCAGTGCACCACAGAAAGCCGAAGATAACTCCTATCTAGCCACATGTAATCTGAGTAATGCCTGCAAAATAGCATAGTCACTGCTGATTATCTCTGAGCTGTTTTCCCTTGAGTGAGCAGCGGAGAACAGCGAACGGGACACATTTCATCCCGGCTGTGACAGCCTGAGTTTAGTGTTTCCTTCAGAGACGTTGACTGATTCTGCTAAATCTCTACCTGTCTCTCTTTCTGTGCGTACCTGTGCAGCCGACTCAACTGGGACTCATTCGCTCTACACGCGCTACCAGGACTACGAGATTATGTTTCATGTGTCCACCATGCTGCCCTACACAGCCAACAACACACAGCAGGTAACAGCAGCCACAACCTAACAGGCCCGTGACACATGGTTTCCTTTTCCTGCTCTTTGTGTATCACAACACAATTCCACAGAATTGCAGTCTTCCTTCAGCCTTTGTTCAGTATTCTTCAAAAGACCGAATGAGCCACGATTTTCATTACGTAGCTCTCTGCGTACCGTCGTGCTTTAGTAAAAGCTGCAGAAAAAGCCTCTGCGCTCCACAACAAGCATGACATAAAAATCCTGCCCCCCAGTGTTCACTCCCACCATGAAGGTATTCACTGCTGCCTCGCAGGCCGTCTTCTGTTCATCCGGCTGTCGTGTTTTAACGTGCCGTCTAGGGTTTAAGCCTGTTTGATGTCATTTGCAAAGAAACTGGACATTGCATGTTAATATAGATTAAAGATTTTACATGGCAGTGATGGGGCACTGCATTGCCTCTTTAATCTGCAGCCTCTGCAGCAGCAGCAGCGGTTTAGGCTCCGGTAGCTTCGGTGCAATAATCTACAGCCAAGCCTGCGTTTGTATCTTGGGTTTTTGTAATCTATTTTTATATGTTTGTCTATGAAGAAAAGCGATTTAAATCACAACAAATCTCCCAAAGTATGATTAATGAAGTTCAGATGAAAAGACGCAGGAGCATTTACAACTTATTTAGTTTATTTGTTCTAATAAACATGATTAATTGTCATTGTTTTGTTCACGTTTAATGCGTCATGTACAGAGCATTAAAACGGAAGCAGTCATGAGTAAATGGGCCGATTGGTAAAACACGATCGATGTTATGATGAACTCGCTTATTTCATTTGTAGGCCTGTCTCGAAGCATTATCTGTTTGCTCTTCCCTTAAATGTTTTTGTTTGGTAGGTAACTGTTCTCAGGTTTAATTGGCTGCAATGGCCTCTGGTTTAATTAATGTCTGTGTTTCTGTTTGGTCTCATCAGTTGCTGCGGAAGCGCCACATCGGTAACGACATTGTGACGATCGTGTTCCAGGAGCCGGGCGCTATGCCCTTTACTCCGAAGTCCATCCGCTCCCATTTCCAGCACGTCTTCATCATCGTGCAAGTTCACGAGCCCTGCACCGAGAACACCTACTACAGGTCTGACTCCATCATTCTCAGGGGTTTAACGAGAATTTGTACATTTTTTTAGCAGCTAAAATTAAAAAAGCACTTAGGAAAAGGAAATCAGGGATTTGGGTTCTTTGTGTGAGAAGTGGCAGATTTAAGTAAGCTATAAGGATTTTTAGTCGATCTAAAAAAATTTTTAAAGAACTGCGGGTGTTAGAGTCACATCCTGGTATTTGCGTGTGCTCTGTCGCAACAACACTCCAAAACAAAACAAGACATAGATTGAATGTTCCTGCTGCACCCTCTCCTCACTCCTCATTTCTCTTCCTCTCAGGGTGGCTGTGACACGCTCTAAAGACATCCCATTATTCGGGCCTCTGTTCCCCAAAGGTGCCCGATTCCCTCGCTCGGCCGCCTTTAGAGACTTCCTCCTGGCGAAGGCGGTCAACGCTGAAAATGCTGCAGAGAAGTCAGAGAAGTTCCGCTCCATGGCCACCCGCACGCGTCAGGAATACCTGAAGGACCTGGCGGAAAACTACGTGACCACCACGCCCATAGACTCCTCCACTAAGTTCCCCCTGCTCTCCCTGGGCGGAAAGCGCAAAGACAAGATGAAGGGCGCCAAAGGGGCCGAGCTGCACAGCAATGGGGCCCTTGTGTGGGCGGTGATGGTGAACAGCATAGATGAATGGGAAGCCGGAGAGCACAAGCTCCCCTGTTTGCTCGGCGTGTCGGCCGAATCGGTGGTGCTCATTGAGAGGTACTCGCGCAAGGTGGTGTTCAACTGCTCCTGTCGCGATGTCATTGGCTGGAAGGCGGTGACAGAGCCCAAAGACGGGGGGCCCTGCTTAGATATCTTCTACGAGCGCGGGGAGTCGGTGTCGATCAGCATGATGGAGAACCAGGCAGAAGACATACGAGAGGTGGTGCAGAGGCTTGAGGTGGGTGACTGTGAACCAAATCGAAATTTCTGCGTGACTATTTTACGTCTTTTTCATTCCTTCACCCGAATCTGCTCTTCTGCAGCTGGTTACACGGGGCTGCGAGGCTCTGGAGGTCACACCCCTGCGCGACGGAGTGGGGCAGCCCGGCTTCCTGATGAACGAGGAGGGCTTTGTGACGGAGCTGCAGCGGTTTTGCTACGCTGAGAGCGGAGGCCTACAGCTGTGGGCTCGCGTGGTGCGGCTATGCGGGCACTCGCTGGTTCACCTGAGCCTCGACGAGAGGACCAGGCTGCTCCGCACCGCCCACAAGATCCACATCACCGTCATCCCACCGGACGAGAACGGCAAGCCTCGCAGGTGGGGACGAGAAGGGAGTCGTGGGTATTGAACAGGGCTTGTGGGACAGGTCAGATCGGAACAACACAAGTGCTACTCGCCTCTCACTCTTTAGTGTGTTACAGCCTGCAGTCAGTGTCACACCAGCTGACTAGAAGCAAGTCAATCCCTTTAATGATCTTTAATCACACTGTCACATGCTGCACTGCTGCTACCACCACCTTTCCATTCAAATCAGAGGCAGGACAGAAGCAGCTGTGGAGGGGACTGTTTAGATAAATGTAACCGATGCTCAAAATTCTTCTTTCGTTACAACAAAGCGCAAAGTCTCACAAAGACGTCAACGATATTTTTCCTCCCATCTCATCTTAGTTTCAGCTTAGTTAGCTTTTTTAAATTAATTTGTGTGTGTGATGTTTTTTTCCTCCATGTTCTGCAGGAGTTTCTCTGAGCTGTATCTGAAAGCCATCAAGGATGCAGAGTGCAAGCCCGGTGAGAATCAGTCAGGAGAGGCCTGGGTGCTGGACGAAAGGGAGGAAGAGGAGGAGGCAAAAAAAGAGGATGATGATGTGAAGACGGGCGGGGTCGAGGAGCCGGACACAAAGGAGGCGCAGGCGGAGACCGACGAAGGCGAAGAGCAGCTCTGCGATAAAGTGGAGAGCGAGCGCAATCCGTACTCGCTCCTCACAATGCCCAGCTTACCTTTGTTACGAGCCACATCTCTGCAGGACCAGCCGGCCAATCAGGGCCAGGAGGGCAGCGCTTCGCAGCTCCCGCGCAGCTACTCTCTGGAAAAACAGCTGTCCTACAGCGACACTTGCGACGCGGGGTGAGTGCGACTAAAACTTATAGAGGTGTTCTTTGAAGTGTTACGGCGGCGTCATGAAGAAACACAAGAAATGAAAATCAAGGAAAAAAAGAGAAGCTAGGTTTTATAGAGGCTATTTAAATGCATCTGCTGATGATGCAAAATCTCCGTCACTTTGTTTTTATGTCACTTTTCTGGTTGAGGCACAGACTGATTTTATCTTCAGGGAATTTAGCGCCTCCACTTTTAAATGTTTGACATTGTATACTCACTTTGACGTTCCCGTTCAAATTGCTTTTTTAACTTTATTTTCTCTCATGTAGAAAGTGTAGTGTAGTAAACTGACACTAGGATATAATACTCAAAAAAATGAACGCAAATCGGATCTTGATGAGTGAAAAGGATGTAACAGCAGTCAGCAGAAATCAATATCGTGCTTCAAAATTCAAATTGTTCAAGAGCTCCCTTCAATTTCGAGCGATATGTTTTAGTCTTCATTTATGTTTCACTTCTACTTGACTACATTTCAGAGGAAAACACTGTATTTCAGTCCCAGTGTCAGCTGGGATAAGCTCACTCCCACTGTTATTCTTTAGGGCGGATGGATACTGTGGTGCTCGTGCTTGTTCTTTTATCCATTATAGTCACTATAGTTTCTTTCTGAACAAATGAAGCGTTGTTAAAAAATATTAATGATAAACAGTTTAGGTTAAACCTGAAGAAGGATTTCTGATCTCCTCAGAATAAACAGAAGTTTGATGATATCAGTCGGAGATCTCTAACTAGGAACAACATTTTCACAATATTTTGTTCTTGCAAATAAACAATTAAGGGGGTTGATAACAGAAAGGAGCAGTTTCATCAGCGTGTATCATGGTTAAAAACTACTCAAGCAACGACAAGCCGTAAATACTGCTGATGATAGTATAGCACATTTAACATCCCCACAGTCATAGAGCTAACTTTTGATAATATAATCCCTTTTTCCTGATTTAATATGAACTGAAATTGAAGACTCTTTCCACCGCTTGCTTTTCTAATTGTCATGAAGCAGGTTGACTGGCCAAGCAGTTGATCTCCTGCTAGTGATTTTTCTTAATGAAAAGCAAAACAAAAACATCTTCAAGGACCATACAAACAAGTCAAGAATGATAGCCATGAAGCAAGCTTGCTTTCAATTCAGAGGTTACTTACATAATGATCTGCACTGTGCACTCTTTCCTCATTTTCTTGAGTATCAAAGGCCCCTCCGCATCTGTCTCGGGTAAATCCCTTTAACCACACTGGTCAGCTTGAGGAAAACGCTGTGCATAAAGGAAATATTCATGAGGATAATATTAAATTCTGCTGCTCGCTAAATCGAATTTGACTTCTTTTTATCGTCACACAAAGTAGTACTGAGAAATTAGACTGGACGGCATCACGTGATATATTTGACAGATAATTCTGCGAGTGCGCCACAGTAAATGTGAATCAGGCTCAAATCTGAGCCATCCTGGAGATTACTTCTCTGGTTTCTGTTTTGACCTTTAGATTGGTTTAAAACAATAAAGCCTCAACATCCAATTTTCATTGGGTTTTTTGGGGTTATTTTTTCAACACCCTCTTTCCCTCCGCCCCGGTGTGCAGGCACGTGTATGACAACGTGGGGTTGAAGGTTGAACACCACATCTATGAGAACATCGGGGAGCTGAGGGATGCCACACCTGATCTGATCCTGGAAGTCAAACCGAAGGTTCCCCTCGACGACGAGCAGGTGAAAAAACAGCGCGCCGCAGCACCTCTCCGTCTCCTTTCCGACACCGTTGTCTCTCCTTCATCTCAAACTCTGTCTTGTCTTCAGTTCATGGGGGCCGAGTTTGGCGATGACAAAGCCTCGGCGAGTGACTCCTCTCTCTCGTCTTCGCGGCTGTCAAGTGTGGACCGAGCTGAAAGAAATTCACGAGCCCTGAGTCTTCATAACTCCATCACCAAGAGTAAGTGCATGCTTATTTAGAGCCTCATTGTATGTGCATAACAAAATCTAAAAGGGAAAATCTCATTCAGACAGAACAGCAGACACAGCCGCAGCTTAAATGAAGCCGAAATACAACAATTACACATGTTTGCGAATCATCTCTGCCTGATTTAACCTCAAATTCCTTTTTCCAGATTTCCTCTGCCTTAAAATCCTCTCTTCATTATCCTCCCTTTAGTCCCCACTGCATCCCCTTTGTTCCTCCTCTTTCATCCACGCTGCCCCCTATTCCGCTAATCTAATATCATCCCTGCTCTGCTGCCACCCCCTGCCAAGGCTGGGATAAAAGGGGGACAGATGGGTAGTGGGAGGGGTGGAGTTTTAGGCAGCCCCAATTTAAGGAACCCCTCTTACACCATCTGCTCTGCCTCCACTGAGACTATGAGACTCATCATTTAACTGCTGTAAGAGCACACTTGCTCATCCTCTCATCATCAGAGTCTTCTGATATTTTTTTTTCAGGGGGATGCAGGGTTCTCTCATTGAAATTTAGCTTCTTAATATGTCTTAAACCAGTACTTTTCACTACCTTCAATGTCATTAAAACTCTTATATTCACAAAAATTCACGAAAACTATTAAAATATTAAAGCTCCCTGTCTTGCACTGTAACTCTCGTGTACTATATTTTGATCGCGTGCTCCTATAAATTTCATCTTAGTTGGTCTGACATGGCCAGGCCGGCACATCAGCTCATGTGCTCTAAAATCTGACCAGCAGTAACACAGCAGCACCCCCAGGTGGGGACTCTTTGCTATTGCAGAACCAGAAGGAATCAGCTGCTTCACACATCCCAGTCCTCTTGCGCTGTTACCTATAATCTGAGGCATGTTTAGTGAACTTTTTCCTCTGTGTTACAGTTCTCTCGGAGACAACAGATTCGACCGAGGAGGAGTGGCAGTCGATTTCTGACCTGGCCACAGCCTGCCGCAACATCCTGGAGGCTTTGTCACGAGAGGGTGAGGAACTGTTTATATATACTTGATAAATGTGGATTAGACTGTAAATAATGCATCAAGCTCCTAAAATGTTCTGCACAATCACAGGAAAATAGACTCACTTTACTGTAAGTAAATAACTGTAACATTGCCTTAATTAGCTACCCATTATGCGCTATAACTAAAAGCATCCTGGATGAATGCCACTTGGCCTGCACCTCCACCCCATCAAACACCTTTGGGACCACTTAGAAAGACTAAACTTTAAGCCCAGCCGAACTTTGACATCTGGCCTCGCTAATAATGCATAGAAACAAATCTCTGCAGCCAGAATTAAGATGCTGGAAACTCTTTTTAGAAGAGCAAGGGCTCCTGTAAGAAACAGATCCGGAATAGATGTTTAAATGAGTGATCTAGTTGTTTGTCCTTTGGCCACATAGCATAAGGGTTCCCAGATTGACTGCTCAGGTGCACTGTTATTGCACCACCTTAACAAATAGAATAAAAAATAACTGCCAGTAAACAGTATTGCAAATGCTACCTGTCTGCCGGACATGTCAACAGCCCTCAGCCTGCGGGCATCATTTGTTGGGAACAGTTAGCTAATGCGAGCATGGTGCCAAGCAAGCAATGCATCAAATGAGCAGTCACAACAGTTTTCGTGTGTAGCATGTCAGAAATGTTGGTGTGTTCTTTGGTGTGTTTGGGCACAAAAAGTTGCATGTTGTATAAAAGTGTTGTAAAAAGGGGGGCATGCAGTCGTTTGAAAAACTAAGAACATCCCTGATTCTGTAGCTTGTAGATCCACGATTAGCAGCAATAACTTGAAGTAATTGGTTACTGTGTGACATTATTTGTCTCACACATTATTGTGGAGGATTTTTGCCCACTCTTCTTTACATGTTGCTTCAGTTCATTGAGGTTTGCGGGCATTTCTTTATGCACAGCATTAATAGGTTCCCACCACAGCATTTCAGTCAGGTTGAGGTCTGGACTTATTGCAACACCCCGAGTTTTTTCATTTTCAGCCATTTTTTTGCAGATGTGCTGCTGTGCTTAGGATCATTGTCCTGTTGCAAAATACAAGCTTTAGCTGTGGACAGATGGCCTCACATTTGACTCTAGAAATGTTCACGGTCGACTTGATGAGTGCAAAGTCCTGTGGCTGCAAAACAAGCTCAAAGCATCACCCCTCCACCACCGTGCGTGACAGCTGGTATGAGGCGATTTGGCCAAATATGGCATCAGGCATTAAATGCCAAACATCTAGTCCAAAGACATTGTTCCACAAGTTTTTGTGTAAGAGGTTTTCTCCTGGCAAACCTTCCAAATAAGTCGTACTTTTTTAGTGTTTTTATGGTAAAATGTATGGTAAATACATGACCTTTAACACGTGATCTCCTATCCCCACGTTGGTGTCGTCCCCACATCATCATTATACTGTTGCTCCAGGATCAACATCCCAATTGACCAGTGAGCCTATCTGAGATTTTATTTAGCATTAGTCAAGCAGTTAGCTAACACTTTTCTGAAAACCAACATGAGTAACCTTAATTTGGCTAACAGCAAACCTAAATTGATAGTTGTTATTAATACTGTTATTAATAACTGTACGAATTAATTTAGAATGCTTGAGGAAGAAGAAGAAGAAGGCTTGAAATGTTTACCATTTATTCCAGACGAGAGTTTTATATAAAAACAAAGGTGTTTGGGTTTTTTTTTCCACATTACAAAGAAATGACATCACAACAACGTGATTGGTCGGTTGCAATCTTAACATTATTATGATTAGCACCTACACCAACTTTAACATTTAAGCTGCTAACTGAATGTGAAGGTGCAGGTGTAGGTGCAGCAAACTACCAAAACCTCTGCTTTTATAGAGGTGATCACGCCTGCTGATGGACAATTAACCAAGTGCAACTGATTAGCAGGATCTGACTCCTACTTACCCTCTTAATTCTTATAAACGCAGTGAGAGCGTACTTAGCTTGTGACAGGAGTGCATAGAGTCAAAACATCTTTATTGACTTCATCAACTTTCACATCTCTGTCTCATCACATTTTATTTAATATACTGTATATATCACTTATGATCATTATAATAATGTGAATAATGTTCCTTATCGCAGACCGCAAAGCCGGAGACCCTTCCCAAGCAGGCGCTGATCAAACTGACGGCAAGCCAAAAGAATCAAAGGAGAGGTGGGTTGCTATAAAGTGCGTCTAAGCCGAAGCAGTTCAACATCTTTGTAGTTAGCGCCTTTGTCTGAATTACTCCCTTTTCTCAATTCAGTTAGAACGGCACCTCTATTCTCACTCAGTTATTTAGACTACATCCAGCTGTTTGAGTCAACGTGATGGCTTCTCGCTGCCATAAAGAGAAGCCCCTTGCTGACTCAGTGATGCAGTTCTGTGTGTGACTCACTGCTGTGGCTTTTTTTTTTCTTTAAAACTGTAGCTCCATTTTTACTTGTCTTCAGTGGCCTTGTTCGCCTCCTCCATGCTGAGACTGAACAAACAAAGTCCTGCAGATCTGCCGGAGACAAAACAAAGACAGAAACAAATGTCAACAGTAGATAAGCAAAAACAAAGGTGTGAATATTTCTTTGATAAATCAAGTTCACATCAAAAACACAACAATAAAATCTTCAAGTTATGCACACATTATAGTTAACAATTGGAGTGACGCTGACAGCAGTTAGAGCGCATTTTTCCACCTTTTTGTTATTAAACACGCAAATTTATAAATATATGGGGGAGGGTTTCGGTTCAAAATTTTCCTCAGCTTTTACGTTTCCAGTTGTCAGATCGTATTTGGTGATCGTCATGAAAACCAAATGAAGTTTCTTTAAAGATCAAACATGCTACACTGCAATTTCTGCCCTTTTCCGTCGTTTAAACCTATCGCACTTTAAATTCACTGCTGGGAGGCCGCTTTCGCTTCGCTCCGTGGGGTGTACTTATTATGTACAGCCGCAGTCAGACGAAATGCATCGTGGGATGACTGCGCTCGCTTAGAGCGGCTCTGCTCGTCGGATGTAGCAATTACTGTAAATTGATGTGTGAGTATTACAAGTTTCATCAAAAGGCAGGAGGGACAAAGCGTCGAGCTCCGAGGCTGTCAGAGTGACAGATGGCGTCTCGAGCAATCAAGCAAATTGAAAAGTTCACACATTTGGTTCGAGAGGAAAGGAAAACTTTTCCACTGCAGGCTTTTGTTGATTTGATGGCTGGGATGCTGAAACACCCTGACACTTTGTGTTATATTCATGCATTTATTTTTTCAAGATATTATTTATTTATTTGTTCGGATTAGAAAGGGGGAAATCATGAGGTCATCGTCATGTGATCGCTTTTGACAAAGTGTCACTGCCGCTCTCTGTTGCAGTGACTCTCCAGGCCACCTGGAGGAGAAGGTGTCGCAGCTGGAGGCCATGCTGAAGAAGCTGCAGGATGACCTGCAAAAGGTGCTTTGACTTCCATGAATGTTTTTCTCTCTGTGGGTAACATTTTTCAGGGATCCTCAGCTCAAGCAGAAAAATCAGCAGGTAGAAGAAACTATCACTTAAATCGCTAAGCTTCTGTCACTGCGGAGAGATGATTTCCATTTGCCAGTGCAGCCTTTTGTTTACTCATGTCGAATCACAGCTATACAGATGCATTAAATACACATGAAAAACAAACAAACAAAAAAAAAACACTATAAAAAATCATTTATTTATTTATAATTTCGTGTACAGAAATTATTATCAGATTTCTTTTGAAATTCCAGTATTATACATTTTTACATGTATTTATGACAACTCCTTCAGTGCTTTGATAATGTGATGATGTGCTCTGTTTGTTGGTTTGTTTTGTTTTGTTTTTATTTTCATGTCGATACCTCTGAATGCTGTGTAGCCATTTTCACACATGAACTCCAGACGATGTTGATGAGTCACATCAGGACTTTTGTGTGCAGCTCCCCTTTTTTGTCGTATTTAACTCACGTCAGAAGTGTTCTTACTAGCGGAAATGCTCGAAGCGGTGCAGAAAGGGGTGCTTCCTGAGTAGAGCGAGCGGGAGGCCCGACTTGTGGCACGCACTCGCTGTGAACTGAGCTACCTGCACGATTCTCATCACTCGTTCTTGTGCACTTTATACCGCTCGAGCACGTAACCCCGTCGGGTGATTTATAGAAAAGATCAGCGGTGCAGAGCATGTGTGAAAACGGCATGTGTCAGGAACTCAAAGGCCACTTTACGCAACATTTCCGGAGCCTTTAACCACATCTGATGGCTACTACAGACAAGTGGGCATTGTGTTGCGATTTTTTTTATTTTTAATTATTATTATTTTTGCCAAACACTGTATATGTCCTGTACTGTATATGTACAAAGCAAACATATGGCAGTTTTTTTTCTATTTGAAGTCCTTGTTTAGGACTGCAACTATACCTATTTTCAGCATTGAGAGATCTAATGGATATTTTTCTAATCATTCACCTCCGAATTTCCAATGCTGTAATAACAAGACAAACAAACAAACTAAAAACAGAACATTTGGTGCTGAAACAATTAGTTGATTGAGAGAAACTGAATGCTTCTTAGTGCCGTAGCCTCTCAGATATGAGGATTTGCTGCTTTTCTCTGTTTTACTTTAAAACCAAGCAATATTAAAAAACATTAAGTTGGACTTTTGCAAGCTTGATGTGATTGTTTTCCATAGTTTCTGGCATGTGATCGATCGGTGAAAGTGTTCAATGAAAAATAATCATCAGACTTTTCAATCACGAAAATAACCCCTAGTTGCAGCCCTACACCCCACTGTAAGACGCCCTTAAAGCACTGATTTTAATAAATGATATGCAACAGTGAAAAGTCAGCAAATGTTTGGTTGTGTTTACCTGATAAATGTCTAAAACAGCAACAACAACAGCAAAAAAATCTTTTCTTTCAAACAAGTGATTGACTAATTGTTTCTGCGCTGTTTCGGGATGCGACTTTATTCTTGCTCACACCACATTGTGTTGTTTTTATCTCATCACTCTGTGTGTTTATTTGTACCATAGACTGTATATAAAGACCGCATACAGAGACTGTTATATACAGTCTATGACTTGTACCCACAAGTTGCTTAAAGCCACCGGTGCACCTGCCGCTCTCCTCCCATTCCTGCCACAGCCATCTGAGCAACAGCTTTTTTTTTGTTCTGTTGTGTGCCGATGTCTTACAGGAGAAGGAGGACAAGGCGGTGCTGCAGGCTGAGGTGCAGAGCCTCAGGCAGAACAACCAGCGGCTGCAGGAGGAGTCACAGAGCACGGTGGCCCGTCTCATCAAAGTCACCGAGCTGCTGTGCAACGTCAACAAGCCTTGTTAGCTTCACCGCCGCACGTGCGTGCACGCACGGAAATCAGCAGAGTGATGCAAATCGTACAGTGCGGGTTTTTTTACGCTCGACACATTTACTTTGTTCTGACATATTTTGAAAACACACACACATACCTATCCTCTTTAATCTCACAGTCTCTTGTCCTAAATCCTGGACTTGCCTGCTGGTGAGGGAGTATGCAAATCAATTTTAGGGGGGAAAAAGACATTTATCACCCAGTGATGACCTTTGCAGACTGACCGACACAGGCTGCTGTGTTGATGTGCTATGCCAGAGTGCTTCTAGTAGTGTGTGTGTGTGTATGTATGATTCGGTGTGTGTGGATGTGTGTGCGTCTATATATTGCTTCAAATACTTGACGAGCTGGGCTTAATAGCACTTGCTTTAAAAGACTGAGAGATGCTGAATAGCATGTTTGGTGGTGTTTTAGCCAAAATGACCAAAAGTGTGTGTGTGTGTATATGTATGTATGTGTATATATATCTATATCTATATATATATATATACTATATCTACTATATACTACTACTATATATATAATATATATTATATAGTATATACTCATATTATATATATATAATATATAATATAATATATATATATATATATATCACCAGTAATATATGTGAATTGTAGTACTGCTATCCTGCCAGACATGTAGTTGCAATGTCTGAGTGTGGTTCTGGCTGATAGTGTGGAAGGCCTTGATGTAAAAAACAAGAAGGAGGGAGAAAAAAGGGGGGAGACATGAGGATTACAAGCCTGTAGGCAGCCTTCTACTTCAAAAGATGTAATGACTATAACTGACTCGCTTCAGAGTCCATTACGTAAGGACATCACACTCCCTGCCCTCTTCACTTCTCAGTAGTACTGTATTTAAGAAATTCTCTTTTTTAGGGAGAGACTATTAAAAAAATGAAAGAAAGAAAAAGCCCATGAAATAAGGGACGTAAACTGGAAATGCTTAAAAAAATGAACTGAGCATGCGTGTCTGTCTGAAGTATGTGTGGGGAAAAAAAGAGTGTTAAAGGGACGCTGACTAAGGGTTATACCTCTCCTGAAGACACAGACTACAGCAGGAAAGAACTGCTCCGGCTTCCTTCCATGATTGCCTGTAGCTGTTATCTTCTAACCTCACTATTGTAGCAGCCATACTGTAGAAGATCTCCTCCTGCTGGCCTGAACCACTGAATGCCAAAAGGCAGCTTTTTATTTCAGCTGGCAAAATAGCTTTAGGTGTCCGAATAATAGCACCTTTGAACTGATAGTGAAATACAGAATATTGTATTTAAATATGTTTTGTGTTTGGCAGATGTCTACCGTGACTATTTTTGGGGTAATTGTTTACTACTGCTCATGAGTGGTGGCAGTAAGGACGATAGGTGAAGTCTTACCTTTCCACCCTGGTGTGTGTTTGTGTGTGTGTGTGTTTCTGTGTCATTCTTGCACTTTTTTCCCTTTTTTTTTTTTTTTTTGTAAAAATCAACCCTCGGTGGGGCACATACTGTACTTTCTTTAGGCTGCCCAGGTAACGTCTTGTTCAACATAAGGAGGTGGTAAGATCTCATCCCCCTGACACCACCTTACCTCACCTTTCTGTGTCCACTGCTGACGAACAAAGTGCGTTCAGAGGAGTTTTGGACTGCTTCTCCTCAGTGCCAACGAAAAGCCCAGGCAGCTCTCCCAAACCCCACACAAACTAATCTCCAAACTCTGAACTCTGAACTCCGAGGGGAAAAAAATGGGAATGCCAAACGTTCGCTGGACGCCCAGAATCCGTTGTTTCTTGTACAAACTTCCTCTTGTAATTTTATTTTAGAGTCACTGTGAATACCTGGTACCAGCATATTAAGATACAGTATATACAGATTAAATTATGAATCGAAAACTTTATCAGTATGCGAAGATACTGTATGTACAACTGAACCGCTCCATGTTAGTGCATTGGGTTGTGTATGCCTTCCTTTTTGCAGGACGATGACCAATAACCAATGCAGACGAGTATTGATCATGGCCGGCGGGCTCCCGTTTGATCTCCTCTTCATGCTGAAGCCTCGAGGGCCGCGAGAAGACCCGTTTTACTGTATCTTGTATAGTTATTTAGATTGTAGGAGAGGTTGGTGAAGCATGAGAATGTGCCAAGCAACTTCTGAGCTCCCCTCCGTATGTGTGTATCTATAAAATGTAACTTATTAATCAGTGCAAATGTGGATTTTCTTGTAGCTGTTTTAACTGGAGGAAAGTCGTGAGGATGAAAATGTGAAACAAGGCAGAAAGGAAGTGGGCTTGCTTCTAAGTTTGACTTTCTTTTGTAGATGACCAGCAACTATGATATAAGATGACAAAATGCTATCTGAAACTCTTTAATGTAACTATGGGTCTTGTTATTGTTCGAGCTTTTTCAGCTATAGCTCTTTCATATTTGATAAGGTCTTAAAAATAACACCATTAGGTACGCCTTAATGTGTAAATCAGAAAGGATGGTCCAACTGGTCATACTGGTGTTAATGTGAAGGCTTATTTCTCTGACTTTGTGCCTACCTTAAAAAAAAAAGTAATGTATGCTAACCCAGCTTAGAGTTTTAATTTCTTTGACTTTGGTTGCACTTTTGTTTTTTTTCCATTTTATTTTATTTTTATTTTTTTGTGCCAGATGAAGGATTTTCTAAGAGACGACAACATCTGGTCTCATCCCGCTGGTTGAGGAAAAGTCATTTGGGTATTTTGGTACCACGTGATCTGAAGATCGGATAATAATAATAGATGTGTGTTGTTAATCTCAAGCATCACTGAAGCTTCACACAGCTCGACAAGTACCACAGATTGTTAAGAGAAGCGACATATAAATATATATATGATTTTTAAAAGTCAATAAAAAGGAAAAAGGTGCTTAAAATGACGGCTGATGATGCGTTGAAATCAACAGTGAATTTGATGAGCTCGGTCTGATTCACCTATTAGAGATGATTGTGTGATTTTTTAAAAATGCACTTTAATAATTTCAAAGGGATAAATGTTGGGAGAGACAACGGTCACCGTCTGCTTAACCTGATATGACATCAAATACCCTGAAAGCAGATTACAAGGAGAAATCATATATTCTGTGTTGGCTTGGATTTTTCAAATCTGGAATCTGAGGGATTTTGTGGATCACGGAGCAGGCAGGTCACTCTTTTAAAAACTAAACTGTGAGAAAAGACTACTCTTTTTAACTTCAATGCCGTTTGAGCTGTAGCACAAAAGTTCACATTTTTGGCTGGCCTTTAAAAACTCTAGAGCTTTTAAAGGAACTATCTTCATCCAGTTTTTGGTGAAGATCTAGACTTTAGCGACTACAGAAAGTTTGATCTTTGCCAGAACAGTCGGATGAATTTGTCCAAGAACAGAACGACTGTGACGAAGGAACAGGTGAAAGCAGCTCAGAGTTTGGTAACAGCATGATGAGTCACACAGAGGTGAAAGAGACCAAATCAGATTACTAAAAGCACGTAAAAGTATGATGATAAGGCAGGAAGAAATACACTCGTCAGCCAGTTCATTAGGTACACATGTTGTTAACACATATCTAACCAGACAATCACATGGCAGCAACTCAGTGTGCTTGGGCGTTTAGATGTGGTCCACACGACCTGCTGAATATCAAACTAAGAATCAGAGTGAGGAAGAAAGCTATTTAAGTGACTATGAGTTTTACAATGCCAGATAAGCTGGTCTGAGTGTTTTAGAAACTGCTGATCTCTTGGGATTTTCCCACACGTTTACAGACACCAGATCCAAAAAGAGAAAATATCCAGTAAGCTGCGGTTTTCTGGGCCTTGTGGGGACGCTAGAAATCACATAAGGAAGCAGGTAGACAAGCAACATTGGTTAAAATGACCACTTGTTACATTGAACATATGCAGAAGAGCATTTGTGAATACACAAGGCATTAAACCTTGAAGCAGATGGCTCCAGCAGCAGGAGACTGCACCCTGTGCTACTCCTGTCAACTAAGAACAGCTCACCAAAATTGGACAATTGAAGAATGGAAAAAACTCGGCTGGTCTAATGAGTCTCATGTTCTGCTGTGACATTCAGAGGGTCGGGTCAGAATTTAGTGTGAACAACATGAAAGCATTGATCCATCCTGCCTCGTATCATTGGTTCATGAGGATGATGTAATTGTGTGGGGGATATTTTATTGGTGCACTTTGGCCATCTGTGTATTCAGAAGCAGTACTTTTGCATCCATAATAATGTTGGGTTCTTCTATATCTGCTGTCTACAGGTAATAGTTGAGGTGTGAATCCATCCTTGTTCTGGAAAAGCATGATTTAAAACACTATCACTTTGCATTGAACACTAAAACCATTTAAATCAGAATAAAATGTCTCACATCCATAGGCAATAACCAGTTTTATCAAACTTTTATTCTATTCACAATAACAAAAAACAGTTTCTAATAAATATAGCATCAAATTGTACTAAAGAATATAAATAAATAGATATATACATGTATATAGCATATGTGCTTATAGACTGCACAGGTTGGATATTTAGTGAAAAGACACATGCCAGTGTTTATTTATTGTTTATTATTTATTACTGAGAACGAAAAAGAATCCTTGCACACCCTCTTCATCCTGTGGGTGCAGAGCTGAAAAAATAGGACAAAGAAAATGAAGAATGGTTTGCACATTGCAGAACTCCAGATTCCTTAATTGTTGTATCTGGTGACATTTGAAGCACTTCTGCTATTCATCAGACAATAAAAAACCAAGCAGCACCATCTTAAATCGCCTGTGAAAGGTCACATGACCAATAACGTTTATTAGGATTGAGATCTTAAATAGAATAAACAGTCGGTTAGCGAAATCAATGAGTTAAACACGTGCCTCGTTTTTAGGCATTTGTTTCCCTCAATATGTAAATTTTTTTACTTATTGTTTATCCTATATCCTCCCGAGAGCCGCGGCAAACCATAGACACGTTGGTATTGAAGTATTTTAGCATGTGGAAGATCTGTGACCGTGACACTTGACCAACTTGAAAATGCATCCAAGAAACAGACAACTTAACTTCCTGGTTGTCACTTAGATCAGCTGAGCAAGCACCGTGCGGTGACAGGCTCTGGCCCTGACAGTTCAAAACTCCACCATAACAATATCAGCTGGCAAGTTGGGCGCAGTTTTGTTTGTCGAGATGCTCTCTGTCATCA